ATTATTTTTGTAGTAAAGACATTTGGTGAACCTACTCTGGTGTTGGCTGTGTTTTGGGTTCTGGCTGATTTCGCTTTCTGCTACAATTTGAGAATCCAGATTTTGGTGCTGCGTTTTACAGATTATCTGGTATTTTCAGAATATTTTATGAAGATTATATTTTTATCTCCATAATATTTACATTTGCTTTGTAATTCTTGGTACTGTTTTAGTTCTTCAGTCAAAGGTCTTGGTGAAACCAACTGTAATTATAAAAAAACAACAAAAGTTTATCTTTTTGTCTAGATGTTCATAGCTCTGACTGTTAGAAACAGACCAGGATGTTACCATGGCGATTTCTCTGCACCATTCTCAGACCAGAAATGATCTGAAGAATTGATCAAAGATAAACAGTTTTACTGCTGCCCAGTTCAGAGAGGCTGCATCATTTCCTATGAGAAACAAATTTACTTGAATTAAAGTAATTTTAAATCTAAATCTGCATTTTCATGATTTCTATTCGGATTAAAGTTGAGTCCTTTATTGATCATCAGTTAGCGATATATTAGCTGATACTCATTTGCACAGATAATGGGAAGATTTCTAAACACTTGGGGATATGAATGTATAGAGAAAGATTTGACATTTTGCAACTTCATTTTGTGTTAGATTTTTATTTCCTTTTAATTCTACCTAATTAGACACACCTTGATCTATTGGCTAATTTGTTTTTCTTTCTCTGTGTATTTTGTTGGATTTTTACTTTTATCTGATGTGAATTTGATGCATGTAGAACCATTAGAAATGGATCTACTGTAGCAAACATGGTTAGGAATGAGTACTTCTGTGCAACGGTATTTTTTCCATCAAATGTTTTTCCTTATTGTGGAGATCCTAAAAGAAAAAAAGGATCAAACCTGAAAATAATTTAAACAGTAAGAAAAAAATGAAAGTAAACTGATATCAGGATGGACTTGAAGTTAAATTCAACTTACTTTACTTACCCAGGTACAAAAACACAAACATAATTATTTAGATAAACTCCATTGTCTGTTACTGTTTTCTTTCTGCAGGCCATCAGATCCTGTAACCCATAATTATTTCATAACGTTGATGAATTGCATTATTTTTTGCAATGTTAACATCAAAACAGGTTACATACTTCTAATTCAATTTAGTTTGCAGTTTCGATAGTCAAATTTTGAAGCAAATGGAATCCATGAAAACTACAAACAGCTGCAGGAAACTTTATTTATTAATAGTTGCTTGTTTCACTTTCATCGTTATCAATGTCCTTCATCAAATAGTGGCACCAATATATTTGCATATTGACCAAGAAATAATCTGATGAAGGC